TCATCACGTCAGATTACCCCCAACTTCCTTAACAAGACTCCTAAAGTGCAATAAACAAAATCAAGAATTAATAAATAGGATGGATTCAAACTAAAAAGTTTCTCAGCAAAAGAAACAATCAGTGAGGTGAAGAGAGAGCCTATATTTTGAGAGCAAATTTTTGCCACAGTCACATCAGCTAGAGCACTAATCATTAAGATATATAAAGAACTCAAAAAACATAACACCAAAAAAACCAAACAACCCAATCAATAAATGAGCTAAGGAGCTGAACACACACTTCTCAGAAAAAGTATATAATTGATCAACAAATATATGAAAAAATGTTCAACATCTCTAGTAATTAGAGAAATGGAAATGCAAATCAAAACTACTCTTTCATCTCATATCAGTCAGAATGGCAGTTACCAAGAATACAAACAACAGTAAGTGTTGGTGAGGATGTGGGGGAAAAGGCACATTCATACATTACTGATGGGATTGCAAATTGGTGCAACCACTGTGGAAAGCAGTATGCAGATTCCTTAGAAAACTTGGAATGGAACCACCATTTGACCCAGCTACCCCCACTTCTTGGTCTATACCCAATGGACTTAAAACCAGTGTATTATAGTAATGCAGCCACATCAATGTTTATAGCAGCTCAATTCACAATAGCTAAACTGTAGAAGCAACCTAGATGCCCTTCAATAGATAAATGGATAAAGAAACTGTAGTACATATACACAATGGTCTATTACTCAGCATTAAAAGAGAATAAAATCATGGCATTTGCCAGTAAATGGATGGAGTTGGAGAATATCATGCTAAGCAAAGTAAGCCAATCCCAAAAACCAAAGGCTGAATGTTGTCTCTGATAAGTGGGTGCTGATCCATAGTAGGGGGTGGGAAGTATGGGGAAAATGGAGGAATATTGATTGGGCAAAGGGGAGGGAGAGAAGAGGAGGGGATATGGGGGCAGAAAAGATGGTAGAATGAGATGGCTATTATTACCCTAGGTATATGTATGACTGCACCTATGGTACAACACTACATCATGTACAATCAGAAAAATGAAAAGTTGTGCTGCAATTATGTACAATGAATCAAAATGCATTCTGCTGTCATATATAATAATTAAAATAAATAAATAAAATTCAAAAAACAAAGGAAAGTGGACCATGCAAAGGCAAGAGTCATTGGGGATCATCTTAGAATTCTGCCTGTTACACAAATGGTTGGTACCAAGGGTTGCCCTAGAGAGCAGACTCTTAGGATGAGATTTTGACGCTAGGTTACTCACTGATTTGAAAGCAATATGTTTTTTTCATTATTGTTGATAAATGGGATGGAAATTCCTGTATGCAATCATATCACAAGTACTAAGCCTTTCCTGTGAATTTAATTGACATTAAGTGGGGCTAGAAGGTGAGGGAGACAATGGGGTATGCAATGGCTATGGTGCTTGGAAAATATGGGAGCAATTATGACTAAAAATCATGGAACAGACTTATTGTTATTAAGAGAACTGGAAGCCTCGAAAAAAGAACAGGACAACTAATTCCCAATTCAAAGCTTGCTTTGAAAGCCAGGGGCCATTGATATAACATTTAAACAAGCTCTCATTTCTTGTCAACAAAGGGCAGAACTGCTAGAAAGACAAGCACTGAGCTTCATTCTTAGTGGTAAAGAGGTATGAGATGTAACTTTTTGTTTGTTACTTTAGAAGAGATGTCTTAGGGGCTGGGGGTATAGCTCAGTTGGTAAAGTGCTTGCCTGGCATGCACAAAGCCCTGGGTTCAATTCCCTACACCACAAAAAAAAAAAAAAAAAGAGATGTCTTAGCATGAACCAGACCCCAGGATCCCTAAAAAATTCACCAGGGTGGCAAGCCACTGAATCTTCATTGAATTTATCTTTGACACACATAATTTTACTAAGACAAATCATATGTACCACTTTCTGCTTACCACGTCCATTTAGCAAGCTGATTTATGAGGATCTAATGAATTTTGACTTGATTAAAGTCGCAGTGATAGAAAGCAAGAGCGTTTACATAGTCCTGGGTCAAAAGCATGAATTTGCTTCGACTGTTCTTCTCATATGAAGGTGAATGAACTACTTTTCATATTCCCTTTGAATGGGGATTGAACAATATAGATTTATCAGATCAGTAGCTGCTTATCAAGAGCTAGAGCCTCTGTTGATATGAACCAGTGAAGATCAGGAATAATTGGGATTAATACCTAATTAAGTCTGTGGAACTCTATAATCTGCCATGATCCATCTGCATTTTGCAGGAACTATACAGAGAAATTGATGGTAACCACAACTGTGTCTTTATAATCTTCCATATGGGTGCCAATCTCTGCAGTTCCTCCTGGCATGCCATATGCTTCTGAGTTATTATCTTGGCTGAGGAGGCAAAGCAGTAGGTTGACTCATTTCAGAAGCTTCCACTTGGCCTTGGCTACTTCATGGCCCTTATTCTGCTGGTTAGGGAACCAATGTGAGGATTCTTCCAGTGCTGGGTATATCTGTATACCCTAGGTATATATACAGATTAGAGACTGGGAAATAGCAAGAAGATTCACAGACCCAATGTACCCTCTGTGAGATAGATTTAGGACAGAACTCCATTGAACATAGGGCCTCCAAAAGCATCCACTCTGTCTGGAGGTTCATGATAGTTTTTGGTTTCCTGGTATTAGTGTGAACCTGAGTCCCATTTTTTTAACATCTTTGAATCTGGGTATTCCATTTTTCCTCATTCCAAATGTCTACAGTTCCCTAAAAAGGAGGGGGCAAATGTCCATACAATGTAGATACATTATTAAACCTCAAAAAGACATGTCCTCCTCTTGAGAAAAATAAATCTGGACTTATAGAGTGGATGAGAAACTAAAATCTGGGGCTGGGGATGTGGCTCAAGCGGTAGCGTGCTCGCCTGGCATGCGTGCGGCCCAGGTTCGATCCTCAGCACCACATATAAACAAAGATGCTGTGTCCGCTGATAACTAAAAAATAAATATTTTTTTAAAAAGATCCAATTAGATAATTTATGTGAAAGTTCTGAGCAAACCACAGAACAGTAAATGGATATAAAAAATATTTAAAAAAAGAGAAACTAAAATTTTATTTTGAAGTGTCTGAAGTTAGCCTTCTACTTGCCAGTTCTCACTTTTTTTTTTTTTAAGTATATAATTTTGGTACTATTGAGTTGAGTGACATCTTAACTATCCATTCCTAAGGATACCATGATCTCTTAGGCTATCTCTAGAATTATCTGCAGATTAAGGCACCCTGTATGCCACCCTGTTCTTGCCTTCCCTTGATGGGTAAGTACCCTTTTTCCTCTGACAGTTAAGTGCCAACATCTGACCTCTGCAATACCATTCTGAAATACCAGCATCTCCTTTGGTTATATGAGCCAACTCCATAGCAATATGGTGAACAGAGGACCACTACCACTGAGTTTCTCAAAAATGGGTATCCTGTCATGGTTGAATTTCTTGTTTTCTTAATGAGGGGAGTCTTCTCAGGACCCTCTGGAAAACATAATCAATGGTGAATGTTTAGGGTTTTTCCTGACTTCCCAGCCAGTCCTCAGTGTTATGCCAAGGTGGGTGAGTATCTTCACCTCACTTACTTTTTTAGTTTATCATTGTATCCAACTTTAATTCCGGGTGGTATCAAACAGAATATTTAGTTGATTTTACATGTCCTTCATCTAACATTGAACCCCCAAGTTCATAAGTCTCCTTTAGTCTGCTCCTAATATCCAATTCCTTCAAGATTTACTCCCTCACATGTTGATAATGTAAACGTTGGTTGTTTGGTATCTTTGTGGGTTTTCTTTTTCTTTTAAAACACGTGTTGTTGATTTAATGAGCCACCCTTTCTGGGTGTGACTTCCTCATAATCTTTGCCAGTGAAGTTTTTCTTTCCTTTTCTAAAAGCTTTTCTTTCCAAGTCTTCATCTGACAGTACCTATCAGTAATTCATCCAGAAACTTGTTGACACAAATGAAAATTTCTCTTCAATCTTTAGCACTTTGGTTACTCAATCATTTTCACTCAGCCTGTCTGGTTCAACCTCTCCAGAAAGGAAATGACTATCTTCTTGTTAACTCCCTCTCTACCTCTCTGGAAAGTATAGTTTTTCCACTGTGCTACATCAGTTGCTACTTATTATTTGCATTCTAGCTTCTAAATTCGATATTGACCCCTTTTTTCTACTTATATTTTCTTTCCTATTTTCTTTGTTTTTAAGAGCCCTTTTTATTTTTTACTTTCATTTAGTAGGATTTGGGCAAGGAGAGGAAGAAAATATATTTGTTCAATTAGCTGTGTTTAATCAGATGTTAGAACTGCTTCTCCGGGGCAAAAATTCTAACTTCCAGGATTCAGTGTTCTTCCACACCCAGTTATTTCTGATCTGAATCAGACTGGGTTGGCAATATCAAATATAAAAGTTTTGAACATTTCGTATGTATACCTTATGTGCTTTCGGCCCCATCTCTTACTCTAGCCACTGCTTTGTCTGTGAAGTCCTCCAAGTTTAGATTTGCTGTATACAGTCTTATCCTGATAGTATCTTATCTTGGCCTCTGGGTCCTACCCTAGAATTTCTCTAATATTAAAGAGTGGCATCCATAGAATCTCTGGAAACTCATGAGGGGCAAAACAAACCATCCAAATCAGATCCTCCACAGTCCCCACCACTGCCACCAGGTGATGGCATTTTGGCAGAAGCTGTGTTCTTTGACTTATGGACACAGCTTCTGTCGGGTGACCCCTCGCCAACACTAGAGCTATCCATAGGTCCCCACATGTGTATTGAGAAGGCTGAGTGGTAAAATAACTAAGCCTTCATCTTCCATAGTAGAAAGTATAAAGGTAATATCTAAAACTGAAAAAAGTAATTGTAGCATATTATCCAAAACTAGAAAAAAATACCAGAAAACTATTTGTTTCTTTTAGCTATTTTGGAAAGTGTTTAAAAATATCAAATGTGTTTACCTCATAGAAAAGAGAATTAGGAGGCTGGGACTGTGGCTCAGCAGTAGAGCGCTCACCTAGCACGGTTCGGGACCTAGATTCGATCCTCAGCACCACATAAAAATAAAAGGCATTGTGTTGTGTCCATCTGTACCTAAAAAATAAATATTAAAAAAAAGAAAAGAGAATTAGGAGACAGGGAAACATTGATCATGGTAATATTATTACACTTTTAAAACTATGTACATGTATTTACTTTTTTAAAAAATAGAACTTCCGTTTTAAACAAAGGCAGATCCTAAACAGCAAAATCTAACTAAATAAAAAAGCATGTCAATATTTAATTCCCTCTTTTGACTTTTTGACCACTGGAGGAGGAGAAAATGCCCAGATATTCTCTAGAGTCTGTTGGGACATACAAAAGGGGTCCCACCTGCTATGGCTCCCATTTCAGGATCACTGCCCATGGCCTTGGCAACTGTGCTGAGCTGGCTGAATGCTTTAACTCAGCATCGGATTCCAGTTGCCTCCAAATGTTTGTTCATCTTTGAGAGACCCCAGTATATAGGAAACTAAATCCACAAGGCAATGTTTTTTTCTCAAACATTAGTACTTTGTTAAAAGAACATATTAAACTACCACATTTGGACTTAATTTAGGGTGATCATCCCAACATTTTGAGAAAGTAAACATTAATTTAATTTGATCTGTGAAGTTATTAAAGAAAAATAAACCCACAAACATAAAGCCAGTGTCAGCTGTTGAATGGCAGTGTCTATAGCTGTTCTCTGAATACTCAGCCAAAAAATGTGAATGTACAATGAAGTCTTCTCTTTCCTTGGGGTTAAATTTCAATATTAGAACACACAGAGAAAAATATATAAGGAATTCATTTTTGATGGTCCCATAAGAAGGCTCCATTTGGAGAGCATTGGACTCCCTCAGTAAATTCTACAGGGATTTTTTTTTCTCCATTGTTGAAACAGATTGTTTTCTCTCCAGTTGAGCATCAAATAGAATAACTGACATACATTTTGGGTTGTTAAAAATTAAGTGTCTTCAGCAATAGAGTCACACTCAGTTTGGTGAGATTTTCACTCTATGAGAAGTCCTTGGGTACTGATCAGGGCTGGAGAATGGCTTATCCACATGTCTCAACTCACATTTACTCAGGGACATATGCTCATTGAGTGGAATAGTGGGTGGACTCTCCCACACTCTTCAAAGAATATTTATTTTTCTTTTTGCAGAGTATTTAATTTGCCCAATTAAATGCATATATGATGCAGAATAAGTGCCATTTTGAATTAAATGAGGAATAATCTAAATAGATACAGTGGGAATACATTTTCATAGTGCAATCGTCCAGATGTGCAAAGATATAATTTTCTTTCATCTTAAAGATGTTGTCTCATAAGGAGACTTTTCTTTTCTTTTACTTTTTTTTTCCTTTTACTTTTCTTTCTCCTCTTCTTTCCAGAATAATCAAAATTTTAGGGGGAATACATATCATTCTAATGTCAAGGGAAGGACATTATCCAAGCAAGAGACATGGCTCCATGTATCATATCTGTTCTCACCGGCCTTCCTAAGGCTTGTTTCATCAAATCTCAGGCAGCAGTCTGTCTCCACTGTGGTGGTAGCTGAAGTCAAGCTTAGGTAATCTATCCTGTTAGCTGTTTTGATGCTCCAGGTCTACCTGGAGACTTGGTGCTCTCTCGTGCACTGTCTCTCCAGAGCACTACTGATCCTTCACTACTCAGCCACATCTCTCCTCCTGTTCTTTTCTGGACTATTCTCTCAAGACCTCTACCCTGGGGTCCTCTTGCTCTACACCATAGTGACCCTCTGACAGAAACATCCATTCTTACTTCTAAACCTCATTCTCTTAGTTATAAGCCCTATTTTGTGCCCACTGATGCATAAAAAAATAATTCTCATATCTGTTCTAGCCCCACGGAATAAAGGATACTCTATGTGTGGGAGAGGGTGAGAAAGTCAACTTTGTCATATCCTCTTCACCTAAATCAATTGTACTTTCTTTTCTTTTCTATTGTGACCTCTTGAAATGGCTCAGGGCATCCCAGAGCTCCAGATGGATTGAGGAACTTCCACACTTCTCTGAATTTTCTAGTCATGACCAACCAGAAGCTTTATCTTGAGGGAGACAGGGCATAGGGTACAAACACCATACTAACATCTCAACTCTAAATCTCTTCTTCAAATGTTCTGAGCTCCTCCAGCTATTCCAAAGGAGGGTCCTAAATCTTCCTTGTCTGGCAAGGAGCACCTGACATCATTATGCATGTTTCCTTACATCAAGCGTAAATGGTATGCCTTAAATCATAGTGGAGAAGGGGGAATGTTCTTCCCCCAAACCCTGGCTCCTGAAAACTGAAAGCTCTTTGGTTTTCAGGCCGTTGTATCTGTTACAAAATCTTTGTCAAATTTGGGGAATTACGGGCTGGGGATGTGGCTCAAGCGGTGGCACGCTCGCCTGGCATGCGTGCGGCCCGGGTTCGATCCTCAGCACCACATACAAACAAAGATGTTGTGTCCGCCGAAAACTAAAAAATAAATATTAAAAAATTTTTAAAAAAATTGGGGGAATTTTCAGAAATCATTTCATCGAGTATTTTTTCTGCTCTTTTCTCTTTCTCCTTTCCTTCTGGAATTCCCATTATGCTTATATTGACACCACTTGATCCTGTTCCCCAGGTATCTACAGCTGTATTCAGCTTTCTTCATTCTTTTTATTTTTTAATTCTGTTCATCCAACAGTATTGACCTATCTTAACATTTGCTAATTCTTTCTTCCACCTATTCGAATCTGTGGTTAAACTCCTCTAGCAAATTTTTCATCAGTAATAACAATTTTTAAATTTAAAGAATTTATATTAGGTACTTTTTTATAATGGCTATCTCTTTATTGATATTTACATGATGAGACATTCTTCTCCTACTTTTCCTTAGTTCTTTGAACATATTTAAAATTAACTGATTTTAAAATAACTGTCTCTAGTAAATTACTTGATATTTTCTAAAATAACTATCTAGTAAATCCAACATCTGAGTATCCTCAGGGAGAGTTTCTATTGATTTTTTTCCCTATGTGCAACTATACTTTCTTCTTTCCTTGAAAGTCTAAAAATTGTTGTTGAAAACATATAAAATATAAACAAGGTCCTTCTCCTCTCTGAGAGGACTCCCTCTCTCCCTCAAGAATGTCTCCCTTTCCCCTTTTTCTATTCCTCTTAATAAACTTTGTCATTTTTTTCTGGGACACTTACCTCTGCCCTGTTCTCCTCTGTCCTTTTCCCATGTTTCTGCCATAGCAGAGTTGGATCTTAAAAAATTTCTACATCTCACAAATCTTAATAAAATTGATATTCCAAAGATGATTACAGAAAATAAATAAATAAATAAAATACAACAAAATAGAAGACAAAAGTGTGGCAACTGTGGAAATTTAAATTCTTCCCCTAACTCAGGCTTTGTTGCTGCTGTTGGTTATTGTTTGTTTAGTGACTCTTCTGAACTAATTTATAAAAAATATGCACTCTTTTTCATATGTAACTGCTGAAGTTTCTGCTTAATTAGCTTAGTGGTCATCTAGTAATTGGACAGAGATTTCCTATTCTTTGCTGAGAGAGTCTTGGTGCATGTTGGAGCATGCCTTCAATATTTAGCCAGATGTGTAACAATTTTGCTTTAGCCTTCCTTCTATGTAGAGCCTCAAGGTCAGCCAGAGGTGAGAGTTTAGGTTTGTGGTTTTTTTGTTGTTTTTTTTTTTTTTTCTGGTCTTTCCTGAGCATACATACTTTGGCACACACAGAACACTACACACATGCATTTGGCCTTATACATTTCCAAGACTATGTCAAAGCTTTTCAAAGTCCCTATAGACTTATCATTCCCAGTTTTTCCTTTTAAGCTTTTGGTTAGCCTACTGTTTGCTCCAACTGTTGTTATCCACCCACCTCAGGCAGCCATAAAGTTAAACAATTACCTCTAAATATTTTAAATAAACACCCATCTCAGGGAAAAAAGGTCTTTTGCTGTAGCACTGGGTGAGCTCCAAGTGAGATTAAATAAAAACAGTCTTGTAAATAGATCTTCTAGAGAACCACTAGACAGGTCAGATAATGACATTTCTCTGGGAATGAGGCTTTGAAGGAGCTACAACCCTGATCTCTTCACCCCAATGGCTACAACGCCACTTTTGTTGGTCATCATTTCTGGCGGTTGGTCCTCAGGCTGTCATGGAGCAGGAGAGTGGAAGATGGGAATAGTGCAAGTCAAAAAGCCACAAAGTTCAATATTCTTATTGAGACTCAGCTGTTTCTTGAATAAAGGGGTACCCAGATTCCTGCAAGCTTTTTTTTTCCCCATAGTTGCAAAGAAGTTTATTCTGAGAAACTTTCCAGTTTTCTTGGTGCTTTCAAGGAGGAAAGAATTTCCATATGTCCTTATTATTTCACCATTTTTGCTGATGACACTCTATTACAGACTCTTTAAAGCATTTTAAAATGCAAAACTAAGCAATGACTTTTACTTTCAGTTGTGCCTTCTCTCTCCCTCTCCCTCCCTCCCTTTCTCACTCTCTCTGCACAATAACAGTAGTAGGAATGATAAGATAGCATAGATTGAGAGCCATGTGCCAAGCACTAGTCTAATAATTTTACGTGTATTAACTCAATAAATCTTCAAAATAATCTTATTAAGTAGATAACTACTATTACCCCAGTTTACAAATAATGAAATATCCCAGTTTACAAAAAATGTAGCAGAATGTTTGAGTAATTTGCTTAAATTAATCAGAGCTAAGTAGTAGAGAATGGCTCTGAGTCTGGCTGTCTGGCTCTAGAATCAAGGGTTGTGAGACAATGTAGAACTAGGAATTGCCAGAATGAAAAATGTTTTAAAAAATCAACCCATTACATAGGCTTTTATTTTATTGACCTCTAGATTACTTTAAATGTGAGAAACATTCATGTTAGCCATTTCTTGATTGTCATGTGGGATAATTTTAATATTTTTGATTAAGGAAAATTATTAAATGTATACTTAGAGTTTGAATTTTAAGTTTCATTAGAATTTA